AAATAAATAAAAAAAATAAATAAATAAATAATTCGCTTCAACAAATTTAAATTCAAAGTTTTTTTCGTGTCTTCTCAAGTAACCAAACTAACGGTATAAAATAGGCATTCAGTCGGATTGCCTAATTCTAAAACGTTCAGATGCCTCAAAAACTACTCAAACCTGTTGTGGTGTGTTGCCGTGTTATATTCCAAATATTTTTGGATTATTAAATATTAAATTACGTAGTTTTGATCAAAACACTATTTCTTGTAAAACATTAGTAAATGTTCAAAATATATACATATGTATGTATATTATACATAAATAGTAATTGCATCCATAAATTTTCAATGGAGTTCCAAAGTTATGGCGTTATACAAGTATATTTATTTGCCTCGAACAATTCAAAATTTTGGCAATCTGAGTTCGATTTTCGCCTTTTTTATGAGGCTCAAAAATCATCTCCTTGTTAAGAGTACAAAGCAAATTCCTACCCATTTAATTATTTTACTTTTGTTTAACAACTACGGCTAAAACATTTTCTTTTTTTTTACCACTGCCGATTAATAATAAACATTTGTAAGAATAATTAGTATACTGAGACTTCTATTTCTCTGACAATAACTGTATGTACGGATTTTTCCAATAAGAGTATGATTTATTCTGAAAAATCAAGTCGTTTGTCATGACGACGTCGAATATTGACTTTTAAAGCTTGAAGAGAAATTTCACCAGACCAAAACGACACAAAACTGTCAATTTAGATACTGATTGTTCATGAATAATTTCGAACGTTGTTCTTGCGTATACCTAATAAACTTACAGATCATTACAAAACGACACTTAGAATCATATCATCCCTATTGGATAACCCGGTATTTTTATCAAATTTATTACACTTGTATCCATTTGTCCTACCATTTCAAATATTTTAATATTTATGGTATAATATAGTATATTATAGAATGTTTTTTACCAAAAAAAGTTAGTGTCAATCTGTTTTCCATATAGATCATTAAACAATTCCTTTATTGTATTTTTGACTTGTTACTAAGTCAATTTAATCTTTTCGTGATCAGAAAAATATTAAATTTAAAGTATATTTTTCATTTATAGAGCAGCTACTTCGATTGCGATGATTCGGACAGCCTCTCTGAAGTGTCTGACTCAGATGAGTACGATGAGGACACAACGAACGAACTTAACAACTCGGTTGAGCTAGTAATGTATACTAATTGCTACAGTGATAATTCGATGACTGGCAATGGAATATCGACAATACAGCAACGACAACAGCAAAAAGGATCTAGTTGTTTCCAGGAGCGACGACAGCCCAGTTTCACTTGCCCTGATATAAATTGCAATGCAAGAGAATTCGGTGGTGTTGATCAAGATAGTTACAACTTGGTTGCCAGAGGCGGCGATGAAGCTGGTAATGGCATTGAGCGAATAGACATCGTCAATCAAAGTGTACTACCCTCAGAACAGTGCAATGAGCTAGAAAATTGTTCGAGTTTCAATGGGCTTAGTTTAAGAGATGCCAATACTGAGATTCACTTAGACACGGGAAGTGAAAGCCGAGAATAGAAGAACTGTTGTTGAAACGTTGGAGAGGTAAGGGTTAAATTACTTTTTCTAATATTAAGGCCGGAGAAGGGACTCATACATTTGTTTATCTGCTGCAACCATGCATTTCTGATCGTTAACATTCGCTAATCGAGTTGGACATTTAATTTTTATTCATTTCTCGAAATTTTATTTCAAATAAATAACTATAAATAATTTGCATTTTGCTGCTCCAAATAGATTAAAGCTCTTTTTAATAAAAAATTAAAAAAAAATATGAACGTAGCTTCTATTCATAATGACATCTGTAAGTCACCAATGTACAATTTTCATCTCAACACCTTCCTTAAATTGAATATTTATGTTCATTACAAAATGGATATAGAAATTATAGTTCGTTATACAATAAGAAATTAATTGAAAAGTAATACATTTCAGTTATGAGTAAGTATTTTACTAATAATAAGATGAGAATAAATTATTTTAAGCCAAATTCATTTGACAGCTGTTTTGTTTTTGGCGAAGATAATGCTTTTGTAAATAATAAATAATAATATATCGGCCATCATTTTATCGGTGACCATCTTCAATCTTTTCTTTGGTGAATTTTGATTTGATGTCTGCATGCTTCGTTCTACTTGAATATGAGTTATTTTCAGTTATGTGTATAGCGCTCTTGTTATCGCAGAAGACAGATTATAAGGCTACAGTTCGTTGCCTTTTAATAGCCCAGGAAATGGCAGCAAAGAAAAAATACAGCCAGTTGTTGAGCGGCGATCACTTACATCATTTGCCCAGTCCGCGTCGCAAAAACCAACGATTTCATCAGGACTACTCTTATACACTAAGCCCTTGTCAATAGTTTCCTTGAGATAGCGCATGACCCGCTTTACTGCAGTCCAATGTGCCTTTCATGGGTTCGTTCTGTATCGGCTTAACAAGTTGACAGCATATATCAGGGCGTGTGACCTGAGCGGCAAACAGCAGACATCCAATAACTTGCTTATAGTTAACAGTAGCCATTTCCCTATCCTCGTCATTAGTTGGGCACATCCCCGCGGACAACTTTTTGTTAACGTCGAGGGGTTTGCTTACAGGATTGCATTCCTTCATTCCGAAATGACGAATAGAATTTTTTTGTCAGCGACAAGAAAATACACGCATTGGTCGACGTTGCAGCGCTGCAAGCCGAAACTAACTAGCGTTGAATTGAGCTTTATGTTCAAGACACGACTAGATTGCTTCAGACCATATAACGATATTTACAGCTTGCAGACGCGACCGGATCCATCATCAAAGCCACTCGGGTGAGTCATTGAAATCTCTTCTTTAAAGTCGCCATGTAAAAAACACTTACAGCATCCATTTGGTAAGCAGTAAGATTATATTTCAATGCAAGAGCAAGCAAAAGCCGAATTGATGTATATCTCACAACTGGTGCGAATGTCTCGTCATAATCGATGTGCTGCTTCTGGTTGAATCCTTTCACCACAAGCCTTGCTTTACAACGTCCGTCTGCACTTACCTTTCTTTTGAAAACCCATTTCGACGGAATGGCTTTCTTTTCCATAGGCAGTTCCCAAGTGCGTTGATATCATGAGATTCAATTTCTTCACACATTACAGACCTCCAAAGTATATTTTGTTGGCTTGCCATTGGGCAATTGATATTGAACACTTTCGTCTAATTTTTGCATCACATTTCGGAGTATAACAGCATGGAGCAGAAGGGCAAAAAGGTTTCAGTTAGACAGCGAAAATAGTTCTGAAACATTTCTAGAAGGGAAATTTTATAGACGAATTGATCTCGTTGGACCAGTCTAGAGTAAATTCTGTACATTTGGTATCAAGGGAAAAGGGAAGAAGCATCTAAAAAGGAAAATATAGTTGGCACGACAAACAATGGAAGAAGAAGCATAGTGGTGTAGGCAAGTATGGCGTTTGCGTAGGAAACCTTTTTGGAAACATTTAGAGAGTCAGTTATCGATCAGAGTGTATACATTAATATTTTTAACAACAATTGGAATGAAATAGCTGAGAAATTGGAGCTTACAGTTCCAGCATGACAATAATTGAAAACACACAGTCCATAATACAAAGTTTGCTGCATATTGTTAAGAACCAGCTGCGAACATTTTGGTAAAACTGTCCTTAATTACTATGCCAAATATGAGCGCGATCTGTCAACTAGTTTGTTTAAAGCAGCTGCTTAAGTCGGCACTTTCAGTAGTGCGTTGCGATTTTTACAATAGGTAAAAATATCGAATAGCGGGGAATGGAGTCATGTGCAGAAGTTCACGCAAGTGAGGAAAGTTCTCTGATCGCCAATCACTTGGGAGTGGCCAGAAACGATTCTTTTACATAGGAAGGCGAAATATCCCCTACATAGGGTTGTGCGCTGGGTTTGGGACCACCACGTAAGGAAAACCACCCCCAATAAAAGGAAACAACAAGCCTCGGATGAGTGATCCTCCCTTTGATGACGGCCATGGCAAACGAATTAAGGACTATGATTTGAAGGCATGTACCTGGAATGTCCGGGGAATTGGGAAGGTGCCGCTGCCCAGCTGGTTGATGTCCTCGTTTCGGATTCCTGCTGTTGTCCCATATCCTTCGATGTCGCCTCTTGTTCTTAACCAATTTAGATATTTCATCAGAATATAGTTGTCTGCTTCTATGTGTTCGAGAAGTTATAGTATTACAATAGTTGGTTGAGGCTAAGAAGGCGGCTTCGTGTATTTTGTTAGTAAAAATCTCTACTGCATCATCTAAATCCCTAGTTGAATTTATCTCAATTTTGAGATTTACATTGGATTCAAGTCGAAATTGAAAGAGTTTAATATCGGATCTTTTATTTAATATATGCTGTTTCTGAGCATTAAGTAAAGCAGTCAAATTAGAATGAATAATTAAAGCGGAATGGTCTGAAATAAGATCGTAATTATTTGTTATTTCGAATAGGTTAGCGTCAATTCCAGAATAAATAGCAAAATCAATCAAATCAGGGGTATTGCTGAGATCTGTGGGCCAGTCAGTGGTACAACCAGTAGAAAGAACATTTAAATTTGTTTCCATAATACAAACCCCACCATGGATTTTTGGCATTGAAATCACCACCAGCTAGAAATCTACCGTCCAGTTTGTTAAAAAATTAGTAAATGACTGTTTACTTATGTTGAAACACGGAGGTAGATACAGTGCGGTTATAGCAATCCCCCCATTAACGCTTGTGATTTCAACGGACGCAGCTTGAACTGAAGGCAACGATATTGGTTCTAATATCTTATATTTTAAAGTTGACTTAACTATAATTGCAAATTGTTAGTGAAATGAGTTTCTGAGATCATGAGAATATCTATGTTGTTCGTTGCAATAAAATGTTCCACTTCTACTCGTAATCTATGGTTACTAAGTCCATTGGCATTCCATATTGCCATCTTAAGGCTTAATTGCATAATTTTGAAACAAGAGAAGACATCATTGATATTAACGTTGAGTTTGTTTGGAAATTAGCGCTTCTAGCTTCTCGAAATTGCTGTGGCTATGTGCAGCAGTGTTTTGTTGTCCTTTCGTAATTTCTGCGTAAGTAAAGTTGTTATTGTAAACTGGTTGCTCAGTACTTGAGCGAACACCATCTTTAGGTCTAGTATTATTCAGTGTGATTTTACTAGCAGTGTACGCATTTTGATGGAGTACCAGGGTCTTTTTCGCAAAGAGCAGTCTGGTGGTCCAGACTGCACTTAACACATCTGTATGACTTTCTACAGTATCGTTTAGTATGTCCAAATTCTTGACAGCGATGACACTGAACTAAGTCATTAAATTTGCGAGGTTCGATTTTCACTACCGCGCTACATAATTGATTAATGTCAAATACACTTTTGTTGTTTGCCGACGGCTCTAAGTCAGCAAAAAACAGTGACATTGGCATCTTTGTAACTTCACTTTTTGCGTTAACAATGTTTCTCACAATATGACCTTTTTGATATAAGTGAAGTATAATGTCGTCTATGGGTGTGGAATAGTGGATATTTTTTATAACAATTTTATTTTATACAGGTGAAAAATTATATCATTTGAGTCACGTCACAGGTTTTCTATAAGAGTCACTGTTTGCAGGCATGACTCTGGCTTGTCCGACTCAGCCGGACTTGTACGAAAAATTTTCTCTACCAATTAAAGTTGAGAAATTGACTATCATTTTATTTACATCGTTTACTTGTGGTACGAAAATCGGCGGTAGTTTGAAAACACTTCTAGTTGTCTCTGCGTTTTAAAATAATGAGATTTTTATCAATGGCATTGCTATTATCAATTTGTGTGTTACACACATACCGACTGTTAAGACGTCCTCACTAGCCATCAAGTCGGGGTTTTGTTTTTGAGTTTTCGCTTTTTATTACACACGATAATATGTTTACAAAACTGCACGGACAAGAACTCGCACTACCTCAATCGTACGCACTAAGTTTTGTGACCGCACGCACTGAATTCGCGATGAGAACTGACCTAGGGGTGAACAGTTTTTGTTGGATTTCGACAATTTTTGGTCATATTGGCTTAGTCTAAAGTATTATATTATTCGTACGAAGTTTATTTAAGTTTTATGAGAATGTAGCTAAAAATACATTCTTGACACACTCACCTGCTATCTTGAAGCATTCTTCGCAATAACATGAAAATTTATAATTTACTTTTAATATAATATTGCATACATATATTATTCAACATACTATATATTACAAATTGAAATTGGGAAGCGAAGATAATTAGATAATTTATCGAAGTGTTCCGAAATGCAGTTTATTTGGTCTAATTTTTTATGTAGTTTATTCCATATTGTGCTGAAGGTTGTCATACATTTATCGTTTCAATAGTGTTCAATATTGTTAATACTGTGTGGTGAAGTGAATATATATTATATATTTAATATCTTGAAGATAAATCCATTATAGTGTATTACAATTCGCAATTTCCATGGAGTTTCGTTTTCTTAAATGAAAAAAATATAGTCACTAAGCAAAAAGTAACAGAACTTCGTATTAAAGT